TTTTTAATTTGACAAGAACTGTTTGGGCAATTTTGGATAGATGGGTGGCCGTGTCTTTACCACGAAATCTGATATTCTACTGGTTCGTGTAATAACTAGCTTAGTTGACGTCAAAATTGATATATGCCTATAGAAATCCGCTTTCGGATATTATCAGAAAATTTGTTGCTAATTGCAGTAATCAGTAGGTTACCGGGCCAACGAACAGGCCCAAGACTCCTCTAATTATTTTGGGTACTGTGAGAGCTTGCTTGTCTTGCAGCACCATCGGGCTAGGGCTGTAGCTTGGAGAACAATACGTTTTAGGCTTCGCACCCCTCGGGGTTGTTAATTGGGAACATTCTAGCTCATCCTTTCAGGGTGAGTGAGGAAGCGAAATTCAATCTGCTCAAATCGAGCCTTCACTTAGTTTCCTTGTCCCACGCTGAAACGATCAAATAGATCAAATAGAGAACCAGTCGAAACTAAATGCTTTGACAGCACTTTGTCCTCCAGTTGCTTTTTTATACAAATTTGATATGCAGCAACTTGTCTACAGTAAGCGGAGGAAGGAGTGGTAGTCAAGAGGCCAGGCTGGTTTGGACTTGTGCCTGCGGCCAAATACTGCTAGCCCACAATGCATCCACACGCAAACTTCGAGTTGGCCTGAAGTAACAACGTCCGAATCCGGGAATTTTGGCCAATTAAAGGGAGACAAGAGAAGAAAGGTAGAAGTGGAACAGTATATTGTACTCGTTCGAGAGAGATGTTTTTGAGTGAAATAGGATTTTGTTGAGGTGAAACTTTTCAAAACGTCTTTATTAAGCTTCGATATAAGAGCAAGTTTAATGAATTTAACTCATCATCAAAAGATGCTTTGAAAGAGTAGTATGGACTTCCATTCGGCCTACATTTACATCCGTTCGAGTGTGCATCCCGGGGAAAGCTGTTGATGTTCAGGCAATGAATTATCTTATATTCTGATTTAATTGGCTTAGGCACAAGCACTAGCTCGTGAATATGATCTCTATTTCCCCTAGTTCAAATAAAGTGGTGGATTAAATGCAAAAAAATGTTGGATTTCGAGGCTGATTTTGGTTTATACTTGTTAAGTTCGCTTCCATTTCGAGTAAAAGTGTTCGATGAAGAGCTTTAAAAGTCAATCACACTAAATGACAACGACAGATTTCTTTTGGCCAATTTCAGTTTGCTATGCAAGAACAGAATTGCTGACGCTGTCCCCGTGGCAACTAACTAAATCACTTTATACCTGATCAGAATGTATATACAGCATTTAAGGATAAGCAAGTGAGTATTCGTGACTTGCTAGCTTTAATATCGTTTTAAGCATGATAGCTTACTCTGATAATATTTGTCATATGAGAGAAGATAACTTAGTACCTTTTTTACCAGAATCGAGGGATATGGTTGCGGGGACAGCGCCAACGAGAATGTTCCAGTAGGTCCAAACAACAGTTGACCGAGAGGAATCTGCCGTCGCCCTCTGATGGGATCGATCTTCAAACCTCTTCATACCTCTTTACTCGAAATATAAGTGAGCCTGAAAATTGTGTGCCCTTCTCGTAGTGTCGCCATAGGGCTGAGCTAAAAAGTATGCAATTTTATGTATTCTAGAGGCCAAAATTCCCCACAAACCTCCTAACCTCAGAAAAAGAAGAATCCACCAGACAGTTGGATACTAGAAATTCAGTCCATGACTCACGAAAGCCTCTGATGGATTTAATGCTTAACTCAAGGCGATCTTTACTTTCGTTGCTCGGCCATTATAGCCCTTGTACATGTGGTGTAATTGAAACTGGTGCGTAATTATATTAACAGATTTGTTGGGCCTGCTGCTCTTCGAATGTTAAGACTAAGTCAATGACTAATCGAGCACAATGAGGAATCCCGGGAATAGACACTACATGTCTGTGTATCCCCAACAATTTCTGAACCGAGTTTGTCAAAGGTGTCGCTGAGAAGATGTGGGGTGGAGTTTAAACTGCTGTTTTACCTTTGGGGCTGTAACGCAGTGGGCTCTTGGTAGGATAATGCAATTGTAGCAACGGTCAGGTTCCTCTTATCTCCTACCTCCATTTTTTACTTAATCGACTGTCAAATTGGAAAACCTCCAGCCCGGACGATCCGCGAGTCTTATCTTTTTGCTGCAAAGATGGAAGATATCAAATGGAAACTTAATTTCATTGCGACTTTTAGGCTTACGCCATCGCCATATTCGAATAAAGTGACATCTTCCGTTAGTATACAGTAATTTCTATCGAGCTCAACACTTAGCCCAATCTACTGGACGATTAATCATAATTCCTTTATTTCTATGAGATCGGATTTAAATCCCAGTGGGGTCAAATATTTACTCCGACGAGAAAGCTTCGTAAGAGCACTTATTTTTTAATGGAAAAATTCAATGTATGCGACTTAGGGTGACTAAGTTCTTAGACAATTTCGTTGTTTATATCGATTTCTTCGCGCACTTTGATGGATTAACTTCAGAGTTTTGCTAATTTGCGGACTTCAGAAGGTAGGAATCATGAAAAAATTTCAATAATCTTTACTTCTAAAGAAATAATTATCGCCCAAATATCCAACCATCTACTTCAATTATTAAATGTTATTTTGTAGATCATTATTGTCTTCTACAACTTTTTTAATTAGGCCAATTGCCCTTTCCATTGTCTGCAGGAATACCCATGTGTGCTGGGGCCTCGTTGTCTTCTATTCGACCAACTTGATCATTCAGCATTCAATCATGTTCCCACATATCCTGTCTATAACCTGCCTACTTCGACGTTCTTATCTAATTTTCATTCACCTCCTTGGATACGACAATGTGAGGCCCCCTTTTGAGCCATCCTTCTGAACATTTGTTGACAACCAGAAAATGCGCCTCTTCTTTCCTTTGCCTACACACTGGCTCATAAAGAAAACGAGTCACATGTGGTCAGTCTGGTGCTTACCTAAAGTATCTGTCGAAGAAGTGAACCTCATGTTTAGCTGCTCGGACTTTGGGATGTTGCGCCAGAAACCGAAGAAGAGCCCTTGTACCGCCCTTTCTAACTCCAATAATGAGGCAGTCAGGAAGACGTCGTTCCTCTACATCCAACGCACCTGAAGCTGTGATTTTGTCGGCAACTTCGACTTCGCTTCCGTCGCCAGGGCCTGCTTCATTTGCAGTCTTTCTCGTGTCTATCTCAAAGTAGTCCAGGTTCATCCTCGAGCCGAGATAAGCCTCGGCCTCTGCTTGACTCTCATTCACGCGTGGACGCATGGAGTCATATTTAGTGTGTGTTACAATGAGCAACATATAAACAAAAGTCAAAGCAAGCAAAAGGCAACATGTGAGCCGGACATAGTAGTAACTCAACAAAGAAGGCAAGAAACAAGTCATAAATTCGGTACTGCTGGAAACAGTGGAAAAAAGAGAATAAAATCAGCCTTTGAGTACAAACTTAGTTGGAGAAAACTGAAGATTGCCTCAATTCTGATTGGCAGAGGCATATGTAATTATTTTATACGGAACCAATGACGGAGAGCTCATTCCTGAGGGTTGAACTCAATGTTGGGGGACTTTCATTTCGTATGAAAGTGTATGAAGAAGAGATTCGTAGGTCGAGCTCACCAGAAGAGGACGGATAAAACCCGTTGTACTGCAGCCGTTTGGCTTTTTTACGACTTTCAGGTTGACGCAGTCCACGAGACCTCCCTCGTTTCTGGTGAAAACGGGCTGAGCTTTCGTCCATCATATGATGAACATTATCAGAGCTGTATCTCATTCCCGTAAAAGTATCACGTTAGAACTAGGGCAAGAAGACTATCAGGCTCTATCTTAGCTCTTATAAAAACTCAATTAAGCAAAATAAAATAAAATACATAGTTAGATATGGAATAGTTTGGCTAATTATCTTTCGTATTTAAGTATAGTTTCGAGACCAACAGTAAGAAAGTAATATATATTCAACCTATTTCGTTTAAGGTGATGGAGGACTGGTAGTCAAATTTTCCCACAATGATATGAGTAGAG